AAGCAGAGCCTCAGAGGTCAGTCCTCTCCCTGAGATGCTAGTGGGCAGCAGGGTGGGGTGGGGCTGGCAGATGGGAAACAGCTGGAGCCCAGCACTGGTCTGCTGACTACAGCCCCACGGCTTAATTTGTTGGGTTGAGAGGAAAGGAGACCAGGTCTGGGGAGTGGCAGGTCTTCACCCAGGAACCAGATGAGGCTGCCAGGGGCTTCAGATGAACTTCCAAAGCCCATCTTCTTGCTTCCTGATGAGCCATAGCCCAACAGGCAGAAGCCAGGCCTAGAGGCGAGGCAGATACCAACAGAGGCAGCACTAGACAGCCATGCTCTGGGGTTTGGAACCAGATTCTGGGCTTCCAGCACCCCTCTGGAAGGAATGAGGTTTGGCTCTGTGGTTGATGACAGACTAACTTGAGGCTCATACAGGAATGTACCACTCCAAGAACGATTTGAGAAGAGGAAGGAGACCATTTGCACCCAGTCAACCAAAAATAAAATAAAATAAACAATAAGAAATTTCAATGTAGAAAAGACCAGGCTTCTTTGGCTTTCTGAAAGTATGGAACATTTCTGCAGGCATATGTTGGTCTTCTTCCCAGATGAAAACCAGTAACTGCTGGGCTGCTGCCCACTGTGGCCCTCTGGTGTGGGTGTCTACCATCCCTAGGCGTGGGAGCTCCACAGAGACCTGCTCTCTAGACAGTGACCTGGGAGGAGGCCCTACTAGTCCAGGCCCTTAGAGTCTGTTCCTCTCCAAAGCAAAGGCAAAATCTCACTTTTCTTTGGCTGAGGAGGAAGGGGTGAGGAACAGTGTCATGGAGAGACACTGGTGGTTGGATGACCTCATGGGTTTTTCCAGAGCTAACCTCTGTCTACTTAAGAACAGAACTAGGACCTGCTGAGCTCAGGAGAATCAAGGTCACTAGCGGGCTGAGCGTTCACGGCATGCCAAACTCGGGGCTTGGAATTTTGTATGTATTCTCTCTTTTAATCCTCATGACGACCCTACATGGAAAATACTATTATGCTCATGATTTGTTTTTGTTGTGTTTTGCTTTGTTTGGCCATGCTGGGGATTGAACCCAGGACCTTGTACATGTTAGGAAAGCATTCTACCACTGAGCTACACCAACCCACACCCCTGCCTTTGGTTTTTAGAAACAAGTTCTCACTATTTAGTCCAGAGTGGCCTCACACTTGCCATCTTCCTGCCTCAGCTTCCTGAGTGCTGGGATTACAAACTTGTACCACCATGTCCAGCCCTTAATTCCTGATTTCTTATTTTTTGCTTTTATAGACTTCAGAGTGCACACTCTTAGCTACTTCAGAGTGATGTGAGAATGAGTCTTGGGCTGGGAGTGGATCACTTGGAAATGGTCAGTGTTTAGCATCTTTACTTGCCCTGCCTCCCATCCCTGTCCATGTAGACTGGGGCAAGAGAGTGCTGGCCCTGAATTTTGGAAGGCCCTGTTCTGACCCTCTTCTCTCCATGACACCTCCAAGACGTAAGAGGATGGGAAGACCAAGGGTACATTCCATCTGCAGGCTGGGCTTCCATCTTAAGCCATGCTTCAGCTTTCTAGGATCAGGACCTGTATGGGTGGCCTCAGGGCCATCTTTCCTAGGTTGACCTTGCCACAGAAGGACACAGGATTAGCCTGTGGGATGCTGGGAGAGCGGGAAGCTGGAGGTGGGATCTCTACTCAGAACAGGAAACTCAGGTTGGAAGAGGAGACAGACAGTAGGTAGGATTCCCTAGTCTAAATTCACCCTAGGGTCTGCAAATGTGAGAAACTAGCCTGCCCACCCCCACCCTTTCTACCTCTTGGGTACAGAAGTCTTGTAGTATCATAGCAAACATCCTGCTTAGTGCTCAGACAGGACTGATCCTGGACCCTGAGTTGTGTGTATGATATTCCCCTATCCTGAGCACTTCTAGGTTTCTCTGAGGATCGAGATTCATGTGCTGGAGCTTTGGGAGCTGGCGGGTGGGAATAGCCCCTGCTCAGCCCCCACAGCTGAGAGACACCCCTCCCCCACCATCGCTATTATCTGAGCAGATCTGCCTACATTTGACTTTCTGTGCCACCAGCGGCATAGTTTTGCTTTGGGTTTGGGTTCTAGAGACTACCTTCCTCAAACACATTTTTTTCAAGACAGGGTCTTGCTATGCAGCCTGTGGTGGCCTTGAACTTGTGATCCTCCTGCCTCAGCCTCTAAGTGCTGAATTTTAGGTGTGTGCCTCCATTGCTGACTTCTAAAGCACATTATTTCCGAATGACAGTGGACTAAAGAGGCCAGGTTAAAGGAAAAGAGGCTGCAGTGGGCTGGCTCAGCAGGGTGGTGTTCTCCTCTGGAGGTTTTGGCTTTCTCTTCATGGGGCACCTCCTGGCATGAGCCACTGGGAACACAAGGAGGGCTGGTTTCTACACTCCGAGTCTTCCTACAGACATCCTGGGATTGCTTTGCTTTCCTGTGTAGAGGCTGCCAGACAGTCTCCAGGACCTGCTCATCCCAGTATCGTGTGGCCCTTCATTCTGGTGGAATTTTTTTTCTGGAAACTGACTTTGAGAACAAACAATCAAAGCAGCTAGCCAGGAAGAGTGACTGGCAGGTAGATACCATTTTGGTGTGTTAACAATAAGAACTGCGAGCCTCTAACTCTCCAGAGGGTTTGAAGACACGACACGTTCTGGGCTTCGTTGGTGGTCACGGGATCCTTGTTTCAAGGAAGGGCAGCTGCTCCCAAGCTTTCCATCCCCATCTGGAAAGTTCCACTCAACAAACCTGACTGAGCCCACAGGATGTCAGTTCTCTGGATGCAGGGAGTACACCTAGCTTCTCACAAAAAAGACAGCCCCCAAAGCTTGTGATTTCAGAGACCATGCTTGTCTTAGAAAGAGAACCATGGCTCCAGGTCTTCCTTCCTTAGCCAGGCAAGGCTTCTTTCAGAGCCCAGGGGGAGCTGGGAAGGAGCCTCAGGGACAGCCCAGGAAGGAAAGGCAGGCTTGGATGGAACAATGGTCACCTCATTCTGCCCCATTCTGCCACAGCCACAGCCTGCTGCCTTTTATGTTTCTACACAGAAGTCTCACAAGAACAGTCTCCTACTGTTAACTCTGTGACTGCTGGCCAGGGGACACCCACTTGCGTGAGGTTCAGTCTTCTTCCTCACTGACTCAAGCAGTGAAGACATTTTTCCTTCTTGGAAAGAGTGAGTGTAAAAGACAGTTTCTGAACCCAGGAAGCAATTACAATTGTGAAAGTCCTTTCTTATAGCGCTGGGGCTTCCATAGAGAGGCAGCCTGAGGAAGGAATGCATTTGCTCGGGGAGACATTGTCTCTGTTGGTTAGGCAGAAAATTCCGGGGTTGGGGTGTTTGAATGGGAGGAGGGTCAGGGGCTTTTGTAAGCGCTGTATTTTATGGGAGACCTTTGCAAATGGAGACTTTCTTTTTTAATAGTGTAATTCATTGCACAAAGGGTTTTCACCACGGTATTTCACACATGCATATATTGCAAATGGAGACTTTCCAAGCTGAAATCTTGAGCTTGCTGGAGGAGGCAGGCAGCAGAGGGCAGCAGAGAGATAGCCAGTAAATTGTGCTGGTGCCAGGATACCCCTTGGATGGATGCAGACTCAATTTTAGACTCTTGCTGAAGAGAGGTATACTGAGAAAATTTAGGATTATGCTACAAGAGGCTTTACTTTCCTTCTTTTTTTTTTTGTTTTTGGTAAAGCCAAATGTGTTCTATCTAGAGGATAATTTGTTCTTCCTACTTTTTTGTTCAAATAGCAGTTTCTGTAATGATGGTGGCTTTGACAATAGTTAACATAGTTTTGTATTTCCTCACTCTAGGTCATACCCTGATGTAAACACTTTGTCTATATTCACTCTTTCATCCTCACAATTACCCTATTATCCCTATCTTAGAAAGTTGAAGTTCAAGGTCATGGCTAGAAGTAATGGATCTGGGATTCCAATTCAAGGCTTTCAAACCTCTATAAGCATGTAAACAAGTGCCTGTGTCACATCCTCTAGGGTGCCAAGGACTACTGAGCCTAAGAAGGCCACTGAGGAAGAAAAACGCATTTGTAAGTTGCATCACACATTTGTGATCTGTTAGTAGATCCTGGCAGTTTTTTTAAAATAATGAATATTAATAGTTCATAATTAATGAATATTTAGCAAACTAAAAGCTGGATTCCCCTTGATCTACTGGCATATGGGATCCCCATGTCTGGAACCCTCTTCTCCACACAATACTGGGCAGTTCCCTGGGCTCTGTTGCATTGGGGGAGGGAGGGAGCAGGCCCAGTGGAAAGAGCATTTGTCACAGTGCTGAGGAGCCTGGTCCCTGCATTGCATCCTCAGTGGATGACACTGAGAGTAGGTAGTAGGCTCTCCCTATAACTTGTCCTGCGTTATACTGAGATCTAGAAACTCAGGAAGAGTTGTGGCTTAGAAATTTCCATCTCAGGGGTAATCTGCCCATATTTTATGTATCATCTTGAAAATTTCCACACCACCTGTGCCTCCTTTTACTCCCCGTTCTCCTGCCTTTTTGTCTCTTTTCCTTTCTTTCTCTAATCTGGAAAGAACATATAAATGTCCAAAAGACATGGGTCTTGGTGCACTAATTTTCAGGGTGTCTGTGGACAGGCCACGTGACACCTTCACTTTCACGACGAGAGAACCTGGTTCCTGCTCTTTTGCAGGGCTGTGATATGAAAACATTGTTAGGAATACAAGCAGGGGCAGGGGTTTATGTCAGTGGTAGAAAACTTGCCCGGCATGCCCTGGTTTCCATCCCCAGCATTCCTAAAAAACAACAAAACAAACAAAAAGCCCCAGCTATTGTCCAAACTGTGGCCTCTCTGATAAGGCTAATCTAGCTGACGGCCTGATCCTGCCATCGGGATTGCTATCAGTGCCCTGGGTGCTGTGCCATGCTGCCTTTGGTAAAGGTGTCCTTTCTGTTCTCTCCTCCTGGGATCTAGAAGATGCTCCCTGGAGCCTTGTTGTGCTGGGTCTCCCTCCTGTTCCTGGCCAGGCCTGCCCAGTCCTGCCCTGTGGGCTGTGATTGCTTCAGCCACGAGGTGTTCTGCTCGGATGAGCAGCTGGCTACCATCCCTCCGGACATCCCTCCGCACGCCACAGACATAGTCTTTGTGGAGACCTCGCTGACCACAGTAGGAACCAGGGCCTTCGGCAACAGCCCTAACCTGACCAAGGTGGTCTTCCTCAACAACCAGCTCCATCACTTTGGGCCGGATGCCTTTGGGGGGCTGCCCAGGTTGGAGGATCTGGAGGTCACAGGCAGCACCTTCTCCAACCTCAGTGCCAACATCTTCTCCAGCCTGACCTCACTGGCTAAGTTCACCCTTGACTTCAACAGGCTGGAGGCTGTGCCGGAGGACCTCTTCCATCACATGGATGCCCTGGAGTCCCTCCAGCTGCAAGGGAACTGGCTCCAGACCTTGCCCGGGAGGCTCTTCCAGCCTCTGAGCTGTCTGAAGATGCTCAACCTGGCACAGAACCGTCTGGCCCAGCTTCCTGAGGGGCTGCTCCACCCCCTCACCAGCCTGCACACCCTGAAACTGAGCAGCAACATGCTCTCCAGCCTCCCCAAGGGTGTGTTTAACAACCTGGGCAGCCTGCAGGAGCTGTTCTTGGACAGCAATGCCATCTCAGAGCTGTCCCCAGAGGTGTTTTCGAAGCTCTTCCACCTGGAGAAGCTGTGGCTGCAGCACAACGCCATCAGTCACCTGCCACTCTCTGTCTTCTCCTCCCTGGGCAACCTGACTTTTCTGAACCTGCAGGGGAATGCACTGCAGATGCTGCCCACTGGTCTCTTCACACACACCCCAGGCCTGGTTGGCTTGTCCTTGTCCCACAACCAGTTGGAGACAATTGCTGAGGGCACTTTCGCCAACCTGTCCAGTCTCGTCTCCCTCACGCTCTCCCACAATGCCATCACCCACCTCCCCGCTGGTGTCTTCCGGGATCTTGAGCAGTTGGTCAAGCTCTACCTAGGAAGCAACAACCTGACGGCCTTGCATCCAGCTCTCTTCCAAAACCTGTCGAAGCTTGAGCTGCTCAGCCTGTCCAGGAACCAGCTAACCACACTCCCAGGGGGCATCTTTGACACCAACTACAACCTCTTCAACCTGGCCCTGTATGACAACCCCTGGCAGTGTGACTGCCACCTGGCCTATCTCTCCAACTGGCTGCGCCAGTTCAGCGATCATCTCTTCAACATCCACACTTACTGTGCGGGCCCAGCCTACCTCAAGGGCCAGATGGTGCCTGCTTTGAAGGAGGAACAGCTGGTGTGCCCTGTCACCCGGGACCGCTTGGGCTTCCAGGCCCTGGGTCTGGATGACAGGGAACCGGGAGGCAGCTGGGATCTGACAGTGGAGGAGAGGGCAGCCCACAGCCGGTGCACCTACAGCAACCCTGAGGGCACTGTGGTGCTCGCTTGTGACAAAGCCCAGTGTCGTTGGCTGCACATCCAGCTGTCTCCCAGGCAGGGCTTGGACTCCCTGGTCATGACATACAATGCCAGTCAAGAGTGGGACTTGAAGTCAAGTTGTGGCTCTGTGAGGGTCACTGTGTCTATTGAGGCTGGGGTCATCAGGCCCTAGGTGCAGGACAGATAGAGCCAGGAGCCTGGGTCTCTGGGCCTATCCATGCAAAGGGTGGGGCAGAGGGGAGCTGAGTCTCTGAAGGTGTGACTTTTCTGAAGCAAGGGGAATGATCACTTCTCCAAGGTGGGGAGGTAGAGTCAGGTCTGCTACCCATGCCCCCCAGAGTCTCCTCCTCCTCTTCTTCCCTTATCACACCCTCTTGGAGTCTGAGATATACTAAGGCCATCCTTACCCTTTCAAGTCACCCTTGAGGGCTGCAGTGTGCTCTGGAGAATAAACACCCCAGCTCCAGTGTTTCCCTGTTATTTAATCCCAACCCTCTCTCTCCCTGCCCTGAGTTTCAGGCCTGTAACTAGTCCAGTTACGCAAAGTGGAGGCCACCCTCTTGACAGCCAGTTCAAAAGCCAAATGTCTGCTTTAATTTCTTTCCCAGAAATTTTGTTCTTAATGGATAGAGACAAAAGGAAATGATAGGATCAGAAGGGACCAGGAACATAGTAGGGGCAGGGCCTGGCTTCTTGTGGGGAAATCCTGTCCTGTGCCCACCTCTCATGCTGTGTACAGGAGAAATCAAGGTGAAATGGTGCCATGGGAGGGCATGACGTGAACCACAGAGGGCAGTGTGACTTTGCCTGTTCAGTTCACAAGATGGTCACTCCAAGGAGAAAGAAAAGTGCTGAGGGGAGGGTAGAGGAGAGGCTGGGGTAGGTCACTTTGGCTTTCTGTGGCATCTGAATCTGTGGGCCACTCATTCACTGGAATTTCTCCCCTCGTTTCAAAGACACCATTGCAACTTCCTCAACCCCTACCATTCTTCTGTGTTCCTCAGCCGCCTACACAATGGTCTCTTCCGGGTTCCTGTTGTCCCGCCTCATCACTTATGTCTGGAGTCAGAGGTCCCTCTGTGCTGATCACCCCACATCTCCATCAGCTCATGTGGCTCTCAGCCTGCTTAGCAGCCCCACGTCTTACCAACAGCCACAAGCGTGTCTAAACCAAGCTCCGTCCCCAACTCCTCCTGGATTCCCATCTGCAGACTGGCAGGCCCTGAAGCTGCCAGGTCCTGCAATCTCTCCTCCCCCATCCTCACGGCCAGTGAGTTACAATGAACACTCTGGCTTTTACCTTCCATTCTTCCACTCTCCTTCCCCATCCCCAGACCCCATCTCCCGGGATTGAACCATTGCATAGCCTCTTACCTGGCCTCCTGGCTGTGGCATGGAAAGGCCAGGGTGGGGAGGGACAAATAAGTCAGATGTATAGTGCCCCTCCCCAGCTGTTCACAGTCTGGGGAGACATCAGACAAGAGTGTGTGGGAAGCAAATCCAGAGTATGAGGAGGTCTGCATGTGCAAGTGCTGGGGAGCTTAGAGGAGGCCAGGCTTCTCCCCAGAGCCTCTGGCGCGGCTGCAGTTGACCTGGACCTCAAAGGGAGCAATAGGCTGTGCACACGGGTGATGCATGCATGCAGACTGGGAGCTAAGGGCTGGAGATATGCAAAGGAGGCCAGGGTCCTGGGACTGCAGAGCAGGCCACCGGATGTGGGAGAAAGCAACTGGGCTCCAAGACTGGGAGCGCAGCAGAGCCTGATTCTTCAGGGCTCTGGGTATGGGTTGAGGAGTCTGCATGTTTACTATTCAAAGCAGGGCCACGACCCTGCCTGTGCTTCAGACAGTTGGTCCAGCAAAGCTTGAGGAGAGCAGGAGGCAGGAAAACAACAGGGGCTGGTGTCTGGCTTGAGATGAGAGGAGACAAAACCAAAAGGTCCAACAATCTAACAGCACGTACACAGATGACTGAGAGGCCTAACTGTGAATTACAGAAATGCAAATTAAAAGATCATAGGTGTCACTTTATATCTATTAGTCTCACAAAAATTAGAAAGCTGGATGTGGACCGAGCAGAACCTCCAGGACTGCTGGTGAATGGTGAATGCAGTCCTCTGAGAACAACCCACCACTTCTGAGTCAAAGAAGGAAGTTTGATGAAAGTGGAATTATGCCGAGAAGGAGGATCCTGGTGACAGTCTCAGATTTCTCTCCTGGGTAGCTACCATGAGGCTGTGAACCAAGGGCAGAGGCAAGTTGAGGGAATGGAGGGGTAAGATACCACATTAGACAAGGAAGTGCAACTTCCCTCATCTCCTGTGGAGCATTTTATAGACAACCTTCTCAAGGCCCAAGTGGATTAAATTAGAAGGCAACGAAGGTAGTCAGCAGATTTGCCAAAGTGACAGATTTTCAGATTCACTCGGTTCCATTCCCCAAATCATCTTGGCTTACAAGTAATCTAGACCACATCTTCCAGGGATGGAGAATTTGGCCTCAGAAAGGCTGTGGAGGGGCTGGGGGTGTAGTTCAGTGGTAGAGCATTTGGCTAGCCTGCACGAGGCCCTGGGTGTGATCCTCAGCGCCCTCCCCCTCCCCCCACCACCGCTCCATGCACACACAAAGGAAACTGGGCTGTTAGGCTGCTGACTCCCATTAGCGTTGGGGAAGCAACACCACCTAGCACGCTGGAGGTGCTTCATGACTCTCCAAAAATGCCTGTGGAGGTACAGGCATGGCCCAAGTCACTGTGTGTCCACTGGCAGGGATAAAGAGGTAGGACAATCTAGCAGACATTTTCCCCAATTACACTTTTTCTTCAAAAACATGATTCTGGATTAAATTAAAATATAGTAGTAATTTCTCCTGTGCCAAATGGTGCTAGGGAAATAACACTGGCCAGCAGCTAGCTCAGATCAAGTTAGGTTTGATGGGCAGCTCTGAGAGTGCTGTGCACCCTAAGGGTCCTCGTGTCCTGTCTCCTAGTGGGGTGGTCAGTCTGGTCCAGCAGTTGAGTTTTGATGGATTCTGCACTAGAAACCAGTGTGCCTGCTCCCTACCCCCCAACACTTGGTATTTGGTAAATCAGGCCTCAGTTTCTTCATCTATATACAAGGAGGTCAGTTGAACCCTAGACTCATCTGGGAGGTTTTAAAAAATGGGAGCTAGCATATCTAAGTAGTAGAACATTTGCCTAGCACAAGATCCTGGCTTCAGTCCTCAGCACTGAAAAAGCAAAAACAAAACCCCCAAAACTAGCTGGGAATTGTAGCCAATGTCTGAAGTCCCAGCTAATGGGGAGGCTGAGGCAGGAGGATTGTTGAGTGGGGAGTCCGGACCAGTTTAGGCTATATGATGAGACACCTCAAAAAAACCAAACCAAACCAAACCAAACCCAGCCTGGGCCTCATTTGTGAGATTCTGATTAAATTACCTTGGGAGGTAGTGGGAACCCAGATATCGATCTTTCTAACTTTTCCTCCTCACCCCTCCCAATGATTCTAGGGCACAGCCAGGGTTGAAAACACAGGCCCTGGTTTTGTCCAGATGCTGTCCAGGTCTAGGTATCCTACAGTGGTCATTTATAGCCCGACAGGCCAGTGGGATAAATGCAACCAGGTCAGACTCACCTGGTAGAATGCTCTGTGTGAAGTCATGAATGAAACAAGGCAGAAGCACTATGTATAATACATCATGGGCATTCTTTTTCCTTCTTGTGATGTTTTCAATTTCATTGACCTTGGTGCCCTCAGCAGAGATTGCATTTTTGGAGAAACAACAGCTGTGTGCATGCTGCCCTATTTTCTTGCAGTACAGGGTGACTATGTCATTCTGAAGCACCTCCTCGCAGCATGCTGGAAACCTTCCAGGACACTTTCAGAGCTTCACAGTCAGTGACCTCCTGCCACTTGCCAGCCATGGAACTCTGGGCAGGCTACCAAGTTCTGAGTCTTAGTGTCCTCACTCTCGGGTCATCACCTAGAAGTCCTTCCCTCTCCCCGCCTCACTCTATGGTTTTATTGGTGGAGAAAAAGCTAGTGCATAAGTGTAAAGTATCCAGGACAGAGGCATAGGGTAAATTTCCACCAATGTGATCTTATATTAATGTTATCATTCAGTTCTATGCCACATGAAGTTTCAATCAATGATAGGCCACATATACAAGGCAGTCCCACAGATTATAGTGGAGCTATGCATTTCCTATTGCCTAGTGACATTGTAGTTGTCATTATTCACCTGTTTGTGGTGGTGCTGGTGTAAACAAACCTACTGTGCTTGTAGATGTATAAAAGTATAGCACATACAATTATGGACAGTACATAATGTTTGATAATGATAATAAATGACTGTTATTGGCTTATATATTTGCTACACTACACTTTTTATATTGTTTCAGAGTGTATTCCTACTGGGGTTGTACCTGGGAGGCCACAGGCACAAATCACCACACCCAGTATGTAAACAGCACGCTGTTAGGCCCACAGCAACCAAACACCTTATGCTTACCACACCTCTTTGATGGGCCTAGGGATTAGAACTCAGGACCTCATGCTTGCTCAGCAAGCACCCTACCACTTGAGCCATGTCTAGTCCTTTTGCTGTTAGTTTATTTTTCATATAGGGTCTCAGTCCTCCTGTCTCTGCCTTCCTATTAGCAAGGATTATAGGTGTGTGCCACCACACCCAGCCTTACCACGTCTCTTGACTGCTTTGCAAGGCCACCTCGAGTGACTAGGTTTGCGTAAGTACAACTCTATGATGTTCCCACAGGTCACGGACAAAATCGCCCATCAACGCATTTATCAGAATGCATCCCTAGCTTTAAGTGACACAAGACTACTTTTCTAAAGAAACCTGGGTGTGGGATGGCCCAATTGCTTGGCAGAGGCATTTGTTTTACCTGCTCTTGTGGGCTGTTTTCAGTAGGGCATGAAAAGCGCTATGTACCTGTCAAGATTGTATTCTCTGGGAGGACGGGAAATGCAATTTACAAATCTCCAGGTATTAACAGTGGATATTGGAAAATTAGACAAGTCCGGCGATGAATTCCTTCGCTGCTTTCTGCTTCTTGCACGCGTGCATCTGCATTTCATGTCACAGACCGGCAGAGTTCCGATCCTGGTGTCAGAACGCCCCCTAGTGGTCCATTAGACGAACGGCTTTCCGCAGT